CAGATATCATCTATACTTATCTCATCTATGCCACGTCTATACTGTGCCTCGACCCCACTGTGCTACCGTTTTTTTTTAATATTATACGTTTTCCAATATGAATTTTTTGAACTAGCTTAAATTGTCCGTTTTTAGTTACCAACATATGCGATGTACGGTTGCCACGTCGATGACAATAATAGTCTCATACGCTCACGGTATGATGTTCGAACTCGCATTTTTTTTCTTAATTTTTTATGTGTTAATGAGAAAATATTAAAATATGGTTCGATTTTGATCTCAATTAGATTGAAGAACTTCATTGAATATCAACGACCCAATCACTGTAGTCTCCCTTCGTGAGAAGAAATTTATTATTAATATTTTAATATTATTAAATTAATTTTAATTAATTTTTTTCAGCCCTTACTTGATCAATATGTTTTGACGATACGTCAAATATTCCCAACTAATATCTAGTTAAAGATATTACCCTCAAAATTAAAAAAAAAATTTTCCTTTTACAATAAAATGTTGCTTAACCAAATTTCTCCATTAAGACAATTCAAATTGTATATCTCTTATACTTTTTAAGTGTATGTTGTCGAATTAAATTTGATATGACAATAGGTATCAACTACAATTTGAATAATTTTACTACTACTATTCTATAATATTCAAAAATTTTTGGTAATATGTTACTTAATAAACCATCTAATGAATTTTATCGGTTTATTTTATCGGAACTAATACTAGTGTCGGTTTAACATTTAAGTTTGACGCTTAAGGTACACGAAAAGCATTAAAACAATAAAATAATTGTATCGATGATGATTAATTTATACAACAGCAATTATAAGCATAAAAAAATGTTCTACTAATTTTTATCCAACATAAATCAACTTTTTAAAAATTAATTAAATAATATATCAATAAAATATTTTCAAATGAATCTGTCGAAAAATAACTAGAAGCATTTGATTTTTTATAATAATTATTTATTATAGAATACAATATAACAAATATTTTGTGTTAAACAATTTATAGAAATAAAGTATATTTACTTATTTTTGATCATAAAAATAAATTCCAGAGTAATTTAATATAGTATATACAGTAAAAATATTAAATATAAAACTAAAATCATTAAAAAATTGAATTCAAGTTATACAAATTAAGCACATAAAAAAAATTATATGTTTTCTAATGAAATGTATATAATGAGAATACAATGATTTAAATTTACTTTTCAGTAAAATATGTCATCCGACAGCATGCTGCGACAAAAATTTAAGAATTATAAGGTATTTATATTTACTCGAAAATCGGTAGTATGTTTAACGTGAAAATTAGAATATTCCGAAATTTGTATGTGTCTTTTATCAGTATAATGTCAATAATTAGAAAATATCAAAATTCAAATCAGTGAATTAATATTTAACATTAATAGTTATCAGCTGATTCTGGATACTTCAAGAATTTTTTATTAGTGTAAAGTTTATTGTCGTTGGATAAGTATTTAGTGTTCATGTTGAAAAAGCGGCCGAAAAACGCAGTGATGGAATCGTGTCTATTGTCAATATAATTATGCTGAATTTCCATGTTTAGATCGAATTGTTTGCCAAATTGTATCAACTAGAAAATTAATTGATCGACATTAACTACAATTATGATTTACTTATAGAAATTTAAATCATTTACCTCGTTTCGACCTGTAGTTTTAGGTATGTGGAGTGCTACATTAGGAGCAATGCTTCTCAACAGGTCGAAGAGTTTTTTACCGCCTCCTTCGTAGTTGCTACACATATGCTTTTCGAGACTGTACACTTCGTGTTTCTTATACGAAGGGCCGCCCCATGGAGGAGAAGTCACTATGACCTGTGGCTTATATTTTTTTAAGGATTCTGCGATTTCAAAGAAATCTCCCAGTATAAATGTTATCTTCTCTCTGACTCCATAAATCTCAGCGTTTCTTTTCGCAAATTCCAATTTATTAGCATCGTTATCCACAGCGATTACTTGTTTGTATCTTTTGGCCAATTGGATGACGTTACCACCAGCACCACAAAACGGATCCATAGCGACGTGTAGGCCTGGACATCTTAACGCTATGTGTGTACTTAAGATTTCGGGACAAACTGAATAAAATGATTCTAAAAAAAAAAAAAAACGTCAAATATAGTAAAACACTTAAGTTTGTTGAAATAATAATTTTATTACCATTGTCCATCATGATTCCTTCGTCGAATTTTGAAAACAATAAGTACCTCTTATCCCATAAATGTTTTTTAATATCATTAGGCCGAGTTCTAGTTGCGGAATTTTTGTTGTTATTATTTTCACGTTGTAAATTTCCATTCACTTTAGTCTTTTCCAGGCCTTCTGAAGTAAAAAGTTCAGTTTTTTTACATAGCAACGCACTGTTAGTGTTAGATGTTATAATATTTTCTGTTAATTTTTTAGACTGTATTCTATTAAATTTGAGTGAATTTTCTATTAAGGTGTTGTTTTCTTGATTTGTTGTAATAATATTTCCTGGCACTATATCAAATAATTGTGTTGAATTATTGTTTTTTGACTGTATTATGTCCGAGTTAAAAGACTTATCAGCTAATGCAGAAGTCTCTGTAGGAATGTTAGTGGGCTCTTTTTCAATTTCAGTTTTTGTAACAATTTCTGGGTTTCGTTTTTTTACGGTTTGAATTTCATCATTCAGTAATGAAATGTTCGTATTAGTGTTTGAGGGCTCTTTTTCGGTTTCAATTATCGAAGTTCCCGTAAATTTGTCTTCTAAAATTGAATTTTTTGTCAAAATAGGTGTTTCCAAATTAATAGGATGTGTAGTCAAAACTGGGCAGCGATTATTCATAATGGATTTTACTGGTTTAGTTGAAGTTATTTTCTTCTTAAAAAGTTTCATCTCCAAAAAAGTCTGCAGCGACACAACTGCCAATGCAATAAACATAATATCTCTGATTACTTGAAATGGAATTATAAAATATATCACCAACGTTGTTATAACGAAAAACAAATGCGAATCCATATTTTTTTATAAATATATACACAAAAAACTTAAAAAATTTTAGATATACTTGAAAAATGTAACAGTTAAAGTGTTTAAAGAATATACGTACTCATTTATGACAAAAAATAACTTAAGCAAAAATCACCAAACGGTGTCAATTTAAACAGCATTTTTTATCCTATTTATACAAAACTAATTTGCCTTTTTTCATATTATTTCAGCCAATTAATATAATAAAACATTTTTTAATTGGCCAACAATTAAAACATTTGTTTAACAAAATATGTTATTTTGAATTACAAGTCTACAACGTTTGTCCTCAATGAGTACCATTGATTTCATAGTTAAGGTCTACAACCAACACCCTCTTTCCTAATGAAATAATATAAAACATTTCGACTCATCAATTTCTCTTTACATATTTAAATGAAATATTTACAATTTTTTTAAAACTCCTGTGAAATTCAAATGAAAGTATTTATTATTATTTTTATCTTTATTCTACATTTTAAGTTTCTTTTTAACAAACTATTTAGTTGTTTTCAATTAGCCATAAATTAATTTTGCAATAATTTTTACAAAATTATTTGAATTATTGAATTTTAAAACTTAAAATTACTATAAATTAGAACATTGGACATATAGAAATAAAATAGAACTACAAATAAAATGTCAGATCATAAAATGTCATTTAATGACCATGGGAGTTATTTTGCCTAAGTACGCCGTTTCTAATAAGTTTACTTTTTTTTAAGAACATAAATATAAAAAATTACTTTAATTTAAATCAAATAAGCAAATTTAGTGTCTTAGATAATTGTGGCGCTTGTCACGATTTATTGTAACGTCTTATTGTTATGTAAAACTATGTATTTTTAATTTAAATTAATAATATGAATAAACTCAAGACAAGATATTTATTGGTAATGTTTTGAATACTTCATTTGCAACATAAAAAATGAATAAATTTGTATTTAAACATTATACTTTGATTTAATTTACGGAAAATAAGTTTTATTTTATTCAAAATATATTGTATTTGAAACAATATCATTTTCTTAACAGTTTTTTGCAAAAAAATATCAAGTTGAAAAATAATTAATGATCACGTCTTAAATGCATTATTTTATATAATACTCGTTTTGTTTTTTACTAAATGAATCGAATCGATTAACCAAAATCAATATAACTATTTAAAAAACAAAATAGTAAGACAAAAATATGTCTAAATGAATCTTTATGTTAGTTTCTGCGTCTTGTTGTACAATTCACTTCCAAAAAATATACCATAAATGAAAATTTTTAATGAATCATAAGAAAAATGTTACCCATAACATTATTTAATTTTCCTATTCATATAATTATTTGAATAAAATATCAGTCATATATTTTTATTCATTTAAAAATTGAAATAATAAGTGTTTACTAATTCTATTCATTTTATTTTTATTTGCTTTGAAATTACAGTGTTTATATGGTGATTATTATAGTAAAAATAATTTATATAAATAACGGAAAAAAGAATTTATGAAAGCTACTAAATCATGACTTTTCACATGTATTTCGTAAAATCAAAACTATATATGATAATTTAATTTCATTCATTTCAAAAATATCTAAAAACTATTTTATATATATTTTTGTTGATTAATTTAGATGTATCTAAAAAATCCACCAGGACAGCTTTTTTAATAATTTAATATTATTATTATTTAATAATATTATTTCAATACACCTTTTACTATCCTTTACGTCAACTGCCTAACACGTTACCGAAAGGTAATTGGTATAGTCCTTTATGGCTGGCGGGTACACACGCAGAGAATATTTCCAAGGTGTAGTTTCCTATCTTACGGACTATATATTTTATGATGAACTTTACCCGGACTACTAGCTCTAGAACTGGCTTGTCGACGGATATAGCGCACTTCAAAAATACTCTTTTTATAAGTTTAGTATTACTCTGTACCTCAACTGCCTACACGTTACCGAAAGGTAATTGGCATAGTCCCTTAGGGCTGGTGGGTACACAGGCATAAAGTACTACTACTAAAACTAATTAATTCTAATCACAAATTATGATTCTTCAGGGAAACATTCCTTAGATGATTTTTTGCTTTATTCATATATATGTGATATTTAGTACATGTGTTAATAATTATACTACATACGCCCCTGGTATAAACAAAGTTATTAATATTCTAACTATTATAATCGTATTTTTATTATAAAATAATTACAAAAAATTCGACAAGTTATTCTTAATATTATGTGAAAAAATTTAATTTTGATAATAATATTGGTTACTGTGATTTAATGTTGAACAGCATAATTGTCATAGACGGATACCAATTTTTACGATAAACTTATAGACTAATAATATCATATATGAAATAAATAAGTTTATTAATACTGTACTACTCTGATAATAAATGTGCAAACTTATATACAAATAACCATCCTGAAATTTATGCATAACTTTAGTATATGTAACATATATTATTCCTTGATAAACTATAAAAATATGGTACTATGCGCAACTGTAAAATAGTATCCTAATATACACTCTGTGGATAAAAAAAAAAAAAATTGCATATGAAAAAATACAATTGAACATTAAGCTAACTATAAAGCAAAATTTCAAACAAAAGATATATAAAACAATAAACATTATTAAATATATCAACAAATTTGTATGTAAAAAATGTTTAATAAACTTAAAATGACATATAAATATAATATCAAAAAAAAAAGATAGTTTTAACAAACACAATCAATTCAATTACTTATTGTAATGTGTAAATAAAACGCAAATGAATTTGTCATTTTTTTACTTAAATATAAATTAATATTTGCCTTTAATTTATGAAAAATATATTATTAGTATTTTTATTTACGGAAAAATGTAAAAACAGTTTATTTGATTTAAGAAGACCACGTATGTCTAAAATTCTGTTGTAATGATTTTTTCTCTTCGGCATATCTACATTAGATTTTCACTCATAGTTTTTTGTAATTTTCTTCGACATGATTTTAATTAGTTATGCATTGTTGTTAATTTGTTTAGCTAAAATCTGTACGTGTGTGCAAATTGACATGAACAATATAACACTTGATGTCGCAAAAGAACATATACATAACCACGAGACATTGTTACCTTTGAAACTAAATAATGGTACTGTGTATACTAGTGCTAAAATTTCAGTCAAAAACTTCGAAGAATTCTACCTAAATGAAGACATTGATAATCCTGTACCTTTGGATAAAGAATATTTAGGTTCAGCTCCTCGTTTATCTTACCGTACGCCTGTTGTTGGAAGAACCTTACGAGAAATTACGGATCAAGCTATACAAGAATATAACGATCCAATGGAAGCCATAGTTTGGCTTAGAAATGTAATTGAAAGCATTGGAATTACATTATTATTGGAATATAGTGTATTCACAGCTAAAATTATATTCATCTTATCAAATGATCACGAGAAGTTTAATCATCATTTTAATAAAGCCACAACTTTTTTCAATTTTCTATCAGAAAAATTTAGTGATTATCGTTTACGTAAAGATCCGATTAATCAAATAATTTTAATGTTTAATAAATATAACCAATCTCAAAAACTGAATAAAGATAAATATAATTTCATTAACCTCAGCAATGTTTTTTTTAATCGTTTTATAAACTGTACAAAATTGGTAATGATGCCAGAGGATGGATTTATAACCGGAATTTTTTATCAACTCCAATACTGTTATATAATTAAATTAAAAATTCCAAATGTAGATTTAACAAGTTCTTTAAGTAAATTGCAAGATCAATTCTATTCCTCTATAGAACGTCATGCAGAAATATTAAAAGGTAAATAGTAGAATACATCATAGTATTTTAATGTTATATAGTATGTTATTGTTCGTAGGAAAATACTTTCAGTATTACTAATGATAATTTTTTTTCTTTTTATAGATTCAGAATATACTAATGGATTAAATTTAAAATTATCTTTATGAATGTCTAAAAAATATTTTTTTTTTTGTTATTTAATATTTCCAAATAATTGTTTTTTCACGTAATTGACTTTATATTAATGTGAAATTAAATAAACCTAAATTTAACTTTACAATTTTCTTCAAGTGAGCAGCTCAAATGTATGTTACAACGTTATAATTTTTATATAATTACTGAATAATAATTTATAATACTCAATTAAAATTTCTGTAATTAAGGCATTGATTATAAATGATATGTCTTAAATTTTTATTGAAAGCTTTGGAATTACGTTATTATTGCAATATAGTATATTCACAGCAAGTACGATAAAGTACATACCAAAAGAACATGAGAACACATAACACGTCTTTTGACGTTATGTCAGGAAATTTTCTTTTAATTTCATCTAAAAAATCAAACACACAAATTTTATTTTTTTTCTAATTTAAAACTAAATAAACAAAGTGAGCCTATTTAAAATCATAAAAATGCAATGTTATACATGTTTTTCGGTTAATTTAGATGATGTTTTTATATTTAAAACCATTTTTACATTGTAAAAATGTACACCACTTTACATTGACACATAAAATTAGTAGACGGTGTATTTAGGATCAGTTAATTCGATACTAGCGACATTACCTGTTTTCTTTTATGTTGCCTTGATTAATTATAATTATATTAGATTTAAATGTATTCAAGTGAAATTATAATTAAATTACTATACTATAGTATTCAACATTAAATTAATCATAATGCCACTTATTTTACATTTGAAATTTGTTCAATATTCAATAATTAGCACAAGTCCTACAAGGCAAGGCAAATTAGTACTTTGGGGTTAAATGGTATCAGTACTCCGATGGTATTCGAACAGCAATGGTAGCCAGTACTTACGGTCAGTATTGTCGCAATACATAATTAAGATAACATTAAAATACTTTATAGTATTTTAATAAATACTAATTTAATATTTTAATAATATTCTAATATTTTAATTAAATAATTCCACTATGACTAAAAGTAATTTTTTAGCTTCGATGCGAAGCTGAGAAGGTATTGGTTTT